TATATCTACTTAGTTATATATATATATATATATATATATATATATATAACATCTATGGGAAGTTTTCTATTTAGTATGGATTCTTAACCTTATGCATATGAGATGAAAGATGAAAGAATATGTATGCTCTGTTTGGGTCACCATATCGAAAATTTGGCTTCTTATGAGATGAAAGATGAAAGAATATGTATGTCCTATTTGGATCACCATATGGGAAATGTGGCTTCTTCTTAGAGATAAGAGAACTTCTTATAGAGGAAAACATTGTTGCTCTTATGTCTCTATCTGGTGTTATCGGTAATGATTGCCAAAAGTAAAATGAAGGAAGAACGACATGTGGTATAGGTCGGGAGAGTGGCATAAAAGGGTTTGCTTGATTGGGTTTTGTCGAGGGTTAGAGATGCAACTTTATGTCCTAAAATCTATGATGTAACTTTCATTGGTATAATGGATTTTAGTTTGACGTACCCGTAGATGTAGCCTTTTAGGGTGACCCACGTAAATTCTTTGTATTCTCTATTTTTTTCTTATTTTATTTGCTTGTTGCCGGTTTTTTTTTCTCGTATTTTATTTGTCAAAAATCAATCCATTGGGTTTAGAGCTTCCACGCACAACACTCACCCCCATAAAATGCACTGTAGGAGTACTTTGAAAACCCTAAATTTTGGAGACATGATCACTTCTTCAAAAAGGCAAAATAAATTACTCTTCTTCATATGTACCCGAAAAGGGTAATACCTTAAGATTGAATAGAGGCAGTTTAATTATTTTGAACTGGTAAATCCAAATGTTTAAAAACTCAAAATCGAATTTCTTTTTAAAAAATGATTATCTGGTGTACATGTTAAAATTTCATATATAAAAAAAGTACAAGTATCAGAGATTATTTATTTTTAGTACAAAGAGATCATAGTCAATCTTATCCCATAGATTCTAGATGAAGTGATTTCAAGCATGTGATTGACTAGTCTAGAAGTTCAAAAAAGAACTCGCAAACTTCTTGACCCTCCTCAATCCATCCAATTTGACATCCAATTATTAGAAGTGATTGTGACCTTCTTGTAATAATAGTAAATGGTTTTGTAGTATACATTATCCAAGGGAAAAATACAAAACCATGGTGCTTTTATCGGCTTTTCTTGTTTAACTTTTAGTGCTTATACCAAACAACTAAGAGGGAATTAAGTATAAAACCATGGTGCTTTTACCGGCTTTCACGCTAACTTTTAGTGCTTATACCAAACAATTAACCTTTAATGAAATTAAAATGTTGGTATCTCATATCTATTTTGAAAGCTTTCCCATGTTTGAGAAGAAATAAAAATTGTGAGTATTTTGGAAGGAGGGAGAAAGGCAGGGGTAGCGTCAAACTGCAGGCGATGATGAAAACAAAGAATGATACTACGCCCTGCGTCCACTTCCATACAAACACGCAGCTTTGGTCTAATCTACAAAACGAAAATCCCAATACACCCTCTCTTCTCACTCTTAAATTCCCTGCAACCATCCCCCTCTCCTTCCCCATTCTTGGGGGCCTAAACCACTCTCTAACAATTCTCTCTCTCTAACGTTCTTTCTCTCTCTCAAATGCTTACTTTCCATTAACGAATCAACAAACTCAGTCTTGAAGGGTTCTGGGAACGAAGAGAGAGACGATGGCTCCGAACGACAATAACAGGCACTTTCATAGGGATAGTGGACCGCCTGCTGAAGTGGTCATAGATGCTCTTAAGAAGCCACATGAGGTATATCTTCACTATTATCACTTTCATATGTTATATTTATGTATTTGACGCATCATGTTTCCATATTGTTGATGGTTATAGCAGCAAAGATATTAAGGTTTTTTATCTTAATATATTTTACTGTTATAACCGTCAACATATACCCTCTGTTTGTTTGTCATTTCCAAGCATCTCTCTCTAGCAAAGAAATGAGAGAGAGAGTTTTGCAGTTGGTAGCACCATATTCTAATTATTTTCATGTTATAAATTGATAAAAGTCTTAGGAAAAAGGCTGGGTCGTGGTGGTAGCACCCTAGAACCTAATTACTATGTTTTGGTTTTCAATCTTGCCGACACTTTCAAAAAAGCTAACTCTTTAATCTATCTTAAAAAATTCGTAAGGGCATATCTTATCCACTTAATTACTCAAAAACAACAAAAAAGAAGAAGATAAAAGCCACATACATATTTTCCCTCGTATTCCTTTACAGTATGATTTATGCCGCCACAAAATTTCTATACGGGATCGGGGTATAGGTGATTAGGGGCTGGTGTCTCAACATAACGTCTTAAGCTCTATTTCTATGGTTAACACTTACAATAAAACATTTTTTAAAAAAAGGTACCATGGAATTTCCAAAACAAACATCTTTGCTGAGTAATTAATGGATGGATAGCGGTGGAGATAGAGCAGTAGAAAAACCACCACCTGAGCAGTTGGATGGACAGTGATGGAGATAAAGCAGTAGAAAAACCACTTGAGTGATCTCACATTCTAGTGCTTTGCTCTCATGAGATCACCGTATATGCTTTTGTTGGACGTCTACAATGCTCTTAAACCATGTTTTTTTGGCTTGAAAGAGAGAACTTTCCTGCAGTACCAACGATTTTGTTTTAGTAGAAAGCAGATGGATACTATAGCGCCTACGAAAGCCCTATAGTAGGCCAAAAGCTCCCCACCAATGCATTTCAGTGAGAATGTGCTTTCATACCCATTTGATATGAATCACTTTCCCATGTGGCAGAGCATTCATATCGGAAAGCTCTATCGGGAGAGAGCTTTTCAATGAAACAAATATGCCCTTACGCCCGTAATCTTTGCTATTCTTGTATCAATTCCAATACACTTCCCTGCCTATGTTCAGTTGCAGCTTTCCTTCCTATAAATCCCTTTTCAGGGTTCACCATGGGAGTTATACCATGGAAAAAATTTATATGCTGGCAGCCCATGGAAAAGGGTCATATGCGGACAGCCCGCATCGTAACTCCCCATCGCCGCCATCCAATTTGTTGGAGATTGGTGATGGGGAGTTACCATGCTGACTGCCTGCACTCTAGCTGCGTCTTTATATTATAGGATTGTATACAATGAGATCATTTTCTTTTGGTATAGGGAGTTCATAATTATTTACAATCAGATATGAAATTTGATAGCTTGGATGTGTCACAAAGTTCGAAAACATTTCTTTTGAACTTTGAACTTGGTCAATGAAATAAATGTAACCACCCAGTATCACATCCAATGGTCAAGATTAATTGTGACCACCTTACATCAAAAGTAAATGGTTTCATCGTATACTGTCTTTTATACTATATTTTCCCATTTTCATAAAGCTAGGAAAGGACTTTACCGGATACTACACTAACTATTGATTTCTCACATAACAAACATGAAAAAGTGATTGTCCAGTTCTTTCCTGCCTAACAAACCTGAGCACCAACAAGAAAGAGACCACCAATCTCATTTTCAGGTGGAGCATCACCTTCCTGCCCCCATGATGACAGGCGGTTTGGAGTTCACCAGCCTCACTTACACTGTCATAAAGAAGGAAAAAGTCGACGAAAAGTGGATATCAAGTGAAGTCGATCTCCTCTCTGACATCTCAGGTTATGCTCCGAAAGGCTGTGTTACGGCGGTGATGGGGCCGAGCGGGGCAGGGAAGTCGACGTTCTTGGATGGTCTGGCAGGCCGCATAGCAAGTGGTAGTTTGAGGGGCCGTGTAGCACTCGATGGTGCCGAGATGAACCCAAGTTTGGTGAAGAGAATGTCTGCATATATCATGCAGGATGATCGCCTCTTTCCGATGCTTACCGTGTATGAGACTTTGATGTTTGCGGCAGATTTGAGGCTGGGGCCGATACCGAGTTCAGATAAGAAGCTGAGGGTCGAGAAGCTCATCGAGCAGCTCGGGCTCACGGTCTGTCCTCTCTCTCTCTCTCTCTCTTTCTCTCCCTCTCTGTCTCTCTCCAGGGACATGAAAATCTACAGTGACTATCATGTCTTTTATACATGCAAGATTTATAAGACATGGAAGATCATCAAATGTGTGATATTAAGAGGAGAGCAGATGATGGGGCTGCATTTACATGTTGCATAGTGAGTTAGATGCACTTACTATTTCTAAACATCCAACGAGAAGTCATTTTACAAAAGGAAAAAAAAAAAAACCGTGAGCACCGGATGATAATGGAATAATATTTCAATGTTCCAAAGGAAAAAGTTTATACAAAGTGTAACTTTATGCTATTGAAGTAAGGCACATCTTGAAAACCTTTTGGAAAAGGTCGTTCGATTGCTAAAAGATTCCAACATTGATAGATATAAAGAAGAAAAAAGAAAAAAAAAAAAAATTCAATTTTTTAAAATATTGTATGCGTGGACCATCAATTTTCAAAATTTTTAATTGTTTATAGATCTGTTGGATCTATATCACTTTCTAAACTTAGAATTTCATAATCAGTGATGAAATTAAATTTTTATACCATTGCATGGCTTTTTGGCATGGCAATTGCATAGTTTTGAGTTGCACCTTAATTGAATAGTATAAAAGTCACCCTTTTCTAAAACAAGCACTTGTGTGATTATGTAGGTGATACTTCTTTTTTAGTTATTTTGTTACAGGATTCTCGCAACACGTACATCGGCGACGAAGGCACCCGTGGTATATCTGGCGGTGAGCGACGGCGTGTCTCAATCGGTATTGACATCATCCATGGCCCATCCCTCCTCTTCCTCGATGAGCCCACCTCCGGGCTCGACTCCACCAATGCCTATGGTGTCATCGAAAAGGTCCATCACATTGCGCGCTCTGGAAGCACTGTAATCCTAACCATACACCAACCTTCCTCTCGAATCCAACTCTTCCTTGACCACTTGATCGTCCTCGCTCAAGGCCAGCTTATCTATCAGGGATCCCCCAAAGACGTGGCCCACCACCTCGGTCGCATGGGAAGGAGGGTCCCACCTGGCGAGAGCGCCACAGAGTATTTAATTGATGTGATCCAGGACTACAATCGTTCTGAGCTTGGTGTAGGACCAATTGCTGACTTTCGTCGTACTGGAGTGAGGCCACCGTTGCTTCCCGGGGCAACAGCTTTGCCATCACCATCGCCGATGCCAGCGCGGGGCCCGCGAAACGCTTATGATCATAGTGTGAGGCCCAAGTCACCATGGAGCGGGACACAGAGCGGGGTGATGGAGGCGCTTGGGTTGACGCGGCCCTCAGATTGGAAGAGCAGGAATCGGGCAAGGTAATTACGGTTTTGCCCTCGATGGAGGCCCTAGGGTTGTCTTAATTTTTTAGCACACTAAAACTTTGTTTAAAAAACTTATGCATAATGGTGAAATGGGTTGAGAGCTCATGCAAGACATGACTGGGGGGAAATTATGGAGGGGTACATTTCAAGGCAGTACCCAGATGACCTACTTGTAAGATGTAGGACACTAGGAATTGGAACTATAGAGGGTTATTAACATTTGAACCTCTTAGGTTCAAAATGAAAACATCCATTTCTAGGGTTCTAGTTTGATGAGTAAACCAGTGACAATAGCCTGAGGTCAAAGTCATTGAAAAGAATTTCTGAGGGGTTTGGGTATTGTTATTTAAATTTTATGTTTCTAGATATCTTGTTTCATTTATGCTGGTGTTCATTATTGTGCCATTTCCTAGGATAAATTTTGTTGAATTAATCGATAATAGCACCTTCATCTACATAAGATTGAGACTGATCCAATTGTGAACATATTAAAAAAAAAAAAATTTCATGTGTTGGATACTATTTTCTCTATGGCTTACTCTGTTTACTTTACAACAGCTTATCTCCAAGCTACTACTACTCCAAGGCGATCCTCTCAGGAACACCAACCCCTCGTAGCAGTGACTACACAGTAAAGGAAGCTGACTATCTAACTCAATATACACCCCAAAACCCCTTCTTTGCCAGCCATCTTGCACCAAATTTCGCAAACCCCTTCCTCTCAGAGACTTGGGTCTTGATGCGCCGCAACTTTGTTAACATTCGCCGCACCCCGGAGCTCTTCCTCTCAAGACAAATGGTCCTCACAGTCATGGGCCTCATGATGGCCACCATGTTCATGAAACCTAAGGATGACACCCAAGGAATAACTGCACGCCTTAGTTTCTTCATTTTCACTGTATGCCTCTTCTTCTTCTCCTCTAATGATGCAGTCCCAGCATTTATCCAAGAACGCTTCATCTTTGTTCGAGAAACCTCTCATAATGCCTATCGTGCTTCGTCGTACGTGATATCGGGGCTCATTACCTATCTTCCCTTCCTGGCTCTACAGGCTGCTACTTACAGTGGCATTGTCTGGTTTGCTTTGAGCTTAAGGGGAGAGTTCTTATATTTTCTCCTTGTCCTCTATGTTTCTTTGATATCAACCAATTCATTTGTCATGTTCGTGAGCTCGGTGGTGCCAAATTATATATTGGGATATGCATCTGTGATCGCTTTCACCGCATTGTTCTTCCTGTTTTGCGGCTACTTCTTGAATCATGATGCCATACCAAGGGGGTGGCGTTGGATGAATGTGATATCCACCATGAAATATCCTTATGAAGGGCTACTGATAAATGAGTATGCGACTACTGATTGTTTTGCTAAAATGGGGGAAATTTGCATTATTAAAGGGACAAATATTTTAGATGGGCTGGCCATTACCACAGAAGAGAAGCAAAAATGGTATAGGGTGTTGTATTTGATTGGGTGGGCTATATTCTACAGGATTCTATTTTATATTGTTCTTAGGTTTGCTTCCAAAAACCAGAGGACATGAAGGTGTAACTGTTGCAAGGGGAAGGTGGTACCTGTAATAAGTTGGGTTTGGCTAAGGAGGGTAATGAGGAGGCTTTTTCTTTTCTTTTCTCCCGTTTTTTTTGGTACATTATATTTTGTGGCCAATGGCTATAACTCTCAATGTTATAATTATCATTGTTTTTTTATCTGAACTTTATTAGTATGTGTGTTTCTTTTTTGGTAAATCAGTGGGGGAGAAGCCCCCTACTCATTTTTTATTAATAGAAGATAGAAAAAATTACATCATACTATTTTACAACCTTATAATGGGGTAATTGTGCCACATCATGAAGTAAAGGAAGGTGAAGAAAGTCTGGAGTGACAAATGGTGGCCTTCACAAAAATTGTAGCCTTTTTAGTAAATACATTGGCCATCACATTAGCCTAACAGTAAACATGGCAAATGGTCCATAATAATTCTCAAGTTTGAATTTGCAGTTAGTAGCTATGGTATGAAGTGCATATGGAGATTTACACCTTCTTTGTATGACCTGAACAAGTAAGGTGGAATTGTTTTCGATTTGTAGGGGGAAGCAGTCCATTGGAATGGCTAAATCAACACCCGCTTCTAAACCTTGAAATTCTGTAGAATTATTAAAAGCAATACCAAGGGGAACCGAAAAAGTGGCAATGAAGGATCCATCATCCCTTCTATTGACATCCCCCAACCTGCTCTGTCTGAATTATGAAAAGAAGACCCATCAACATTTAGCTTAAATATTGTGGATGTAGAAAAGACCATGCCATTATTATGGGTAACTTGATTCTTTGCTGCCGCCACGTAAGTTGTAAGTTATCAGTAATTGCCTTTTTCTAAGATGCGATAAGTCCAGGCCTTAGCATCTGCCAAATCACGAATATGGCAAGTGATCCTTCTAATGAACTGCTCGTACGTGAGTATCCTCCCTTGAAACATACGATGCTTTTTTTTACTTAAAAAACCAACACCAAGCAAGAAAAAAGAATACCAGTTCTGAAAAATTCACGTTCTCTAGAAAATAGCTAGTGAATCAATCAATATGCGTGTTTACTAGATTCCCAAGAAAATAAACTAAGAAAGGATTAGGCCATAGAAGGATCAGCTAAACTAGAGTAGAAGTAGAGCAACAAATTGAAAGTCCAAAATGGAAGGAAAGGGGCTCGGTCCTAATGGTAGGACCCCCACACCTTAGTCACCACATTGTGGTTTTCATTCCTACTGACAGCATCCCACTACAACTTTCAGAAAACTAATTCTAAACTATTTGAGAACGGCCTGGGGCCTTGGCAGTAGTATTGCTGAATCCATGATGAAATCTCTAACTCCATTCTCATCAAAAGGTAGGGGCCCAAAATCCCACCGACTCACCACTTTTAACTTACCCAAAAAAAAAAAAAAGCCCTAAACTGAACTTGATAAATTCATGTATCTGGTGCGGATCGCGTCCTCTTAAGCTATTTAAAGCAAATTATCGAAAGTGAAACAACAAGAATATGTGGCTTTGAGATTGGGATTTTTGTGCCAGTTTGGTTCAAAGATAAATAGGTTCATCCAACCCCCTCAAATTGTGTTCAACAATCTCTTCCTTAGCCTTGAGATAGTCCATTTTATTTGGACTAAGTGCCAAATTTCCACTAAATAACTTGTGATTTGCAATGACCAATCATGTTTAACAAGCTATGAATGAGTTTCCTTCTTAAAATAATAAGGCTTGCCAAGGGTAAGTCGCTAACTGAATATTTGATGCCTTCTAGAAAAAGAAAACTTTCACCAAATTTTTATAGTAATATGATGCAATAACCTTAAAAAACTATGTTAGGACTATTTGTTTGATCCAAATTTTAAAATATACGGTATTTTCATTCTAATGAACAATCACAAAAAATAAAAAATTGAAAACACAACATCGAAAGTATTTTTTTAGCCCAATTAACATATGCCGTCCATTTTGATAAGATGCTTAGATCGAAGCCTTAGAAGGATTTTTTTCTTTTTTAATATTTTTAAATGACTTTTATTAGCATTAGATGAACAATGTTAAAAAAGAAAAAAATGATTTTGAGCTTGTAAAGGCTAACACCAAATGAATGGTCAAGATTCGTTGTTGGAATGACTCATTTGGACTATATCTAAAGGCTCAAATCGAACTTTTTTTTTAGGGATTGATTATTGAGACGAAGAGAGCGTGTGTGCAAAATTTTGAGTTTTACAAATACTACAAACATGGATTTTTACAATTGTAGTTGCATTATACTAGGATACAACCGTTGCATGAAATCACTGCTCAATAACTATTGTCCCTTCTATTTTTCCTTATTAGATGTTCGGGTTCACCAAAATCCCTTGTAACCCCCTCAAATAGCCCCAATTATGTTTTTTTACAAATTTAGTCTTTTATTTTACAAAATGCCAAACTCATCCATTAGTCAATTCCTGCCCGTTTCTCTTCCATAAGGGATTTAAAAAACGCCGGGTTGGCATGGAATCGCTCGATCTGACCCGAGAATGGGTCATCCCGTGCCGGTTCTATAAACATATAGGAAATTGCCCAGGTCTAGACGAGAACCTACGATTTGCTACAGTAAAACAACGTTTTGCTACAGTAAAAACACTGATTCACCGATTCTTGGCCGATTTGTTGTTTTTGCACTCGTTTTTTTGCCGATTCACTATCACTCAAATGGCGATCCGGTTCGCTGATTCACCAATCCGGATCGATTTTTGTAATGCTCGAACCTAATCACTGATCCGGTTTTGAAATCCCTATCTTCCATTGCCCAAATCCAATCTTACCTCGAAGGATCTCACTCTAAAAATTTAGATTTGAAAAGAAAAAGAATTTTTGTGTAATATTATGACCCACTTTACAATTGCATCAATATATTTTAAACTTGCAAAATGATTAATCAAAGCTTCTATCATTGTTGCTAATGGATTACTATTTGTTTATTTATTAAACAATTAATATATTATTAGAACGAGTAATATATTATTATTGTTGTTGTCGTTGTCTTAAAATTGTATATATATATATATATATATATACAATTTTACGACAACGACAACAACATACAGAATGATCTGAAATTTAAAGCGTGTGTTCATAAAAAAAGGTGAAACTACGAAAAATATCAAAAAATTATTTTATATGAAATAAATTGACCAAAATACCCCGGAAAAGTTTCAGGGTTATTTTGGTTATTTTTGTTAAATTTTTTTTATATATATATATTTTTTTATTAGGCGCGCTTTACTAAGATGTACGTATGCTC